GTTTGACGTGTTCTTAGCTCACCTAGGAATACTAACATCTTAACTAATTGTGCTTAGTTCAGTAGGTAATATAAACTTTAATTACTATGGTGTTCTGTTAGTGTAGCAACTGTAGATAGGCCCTAAGTCCAGCGTCCGAGTCGCCTATTGCACAACGTACCACCTTGTGCAAAATCAAAGCGATATGGATGCAATTGAGAAATCTTAAAGAACAGCCAGGAGCCACTGGGACGATGCGGATCATTCGAGCCAAATTTCCCCACTCTACAAGACAGAGAGTTGGAGAAATGAGGCAACGAGACGATCATTGGACGGTGGAAGAACTACTTCAGGCTTTCGACCGAGTAATCGATCGACTTGAAGTAATGGAAGACACCGACCCAATGACGGAAGTGACATCATACACGTCCGCAGTGCATACTCCTCGAATTAGTTCCAGCTAGTGGCCCCAGAAGAACGCACCAGTATAGGCCAACCAACAGACATAGTTCAGCTTCGAGTCCTCAGCGACACAGATCCCCGCAGAGACATGAGACCAGCTCAAACGAACCTCGCTGCGTGTTCTGTGTCATGAAAGGACACGACCCCACACAGTGCAGAGAAGTCGGGACAGTGCACGCACGTAGAACATTGGCCGCAGAGTTACAGCTCTGCTGGAAATGTCTAAATCGAGGACATCAAAGCGTGGACTGTAACGCACCTCACTGTAATACGTGTGGAGGAGGACATCACAGCGCGCTCTGCTACAGAAGGAATACGTATCGAAGTCCAAGTAGATCCAATAGTCCAGCACGTAGCCGCTTCGGTAGCACAGAGCGCTATGATTCCAACTATTACAGATCTAGTTCAGGAGATAGATCCAGAAGGATCTCTCGCTCACCTAGTCCAGCTCGTAGGGGTAGGTCCCCAGTCGTGCGTCAGAACACGACCCGTAGAAGTTCACCCCACCCTAGGGTAGACTTCAAGACCTCACCCACTACACACACTTACTCTAGTCCAGCGTGGATGCATCAAAACCAAGATGCAGACTATTCCACAGACGGCTCTGAGTCGAGATCATCATGCGAGTCTCACGAAGATGTGTTTCTAACAAACACAGTTCAACTGGTGGAAACACCACTTGAACCAGTAGTGAGCAGTACAGTTAACCGCATGAGCAGTTCTCTCCTCATGATAGCCCGAGCACTAACAAAAAATCATATCACAAAGACTGAGCAAGTACTTACGATTCTCCTCGATAGCGGATCCCAGCATAGCTATATCAAAGAAGACACAGCAAAGTCGTTGGGATTGAAGCTAAGGCAACCAAAGGATATAACAACTATAGCCTTTGGAGGCCATGCTCAAACAGAAACATCGTATCGAGTCAGAATCGTACTACACAATGAGACAGATGGGAGACCGACACGTCTCAACCTATGGACACGAAAGTCCATAACCTCTGTCCCGTACAGCTCGTCGCCTAGTTCAGCAGAGGACTCTACAGTCCCACCGTATAACAGCAAAGACCGTAAAGAGGTCGACATCCTGATAGGAATGGACCATTACTGGGACGTAGTTGAGATAAATTCAATCGCCTACTCCCCTCTGGTTTAGTCCAGTCTAACACAACACTTGGTCCCGTCTTATCAGGATTGCAGTCGTCATCGAGTTCCACTGTAGTTCCTAGTTCAGAGTCAGCATCACCGTCGCCCGACGTTGAATCCATCAACGAAACGGAGCGCATAGTACGTCAACTTCTCGGGCTTGAAACACTAGCCATGAAGGACGAAGTGGACGAGACAGATGCTGACATAGTCCAGCACTTTTACAACACAGTGAAAATCGTTGACGGCTTAGTTCATGTCGAGTTCCCTTGGAAAAAAGAGCATCCCCCGCTAGCAGATAACAAAGCCTTGGCGATTCGTAGACTTGAATCTCAGTACCATAAGCTCCACCATAATAAAGATGTGTGGAAACAGTACTGCGATACCTTCGAACAACAACTCAAGCAAGGTATCATAGAAGAAGTCCACGAACAGTCGCCCTCGAAAAATCCAACATACTACATCCCACATCAGGCAGTCTTTAAAGAAGACAGCGCTACCACAAAATTACGAATTGTCTTCGATGCGTCCAGCCACATGAGAGGCGTACCAAGCCTCAACGATTGTGTGCATCAAGGACCATCACTTCTACCGGACCTATGTGGGACCCTTTTGCGAGCACGCCTTACTCCAATACTGATCATAGCGGACGTCGAAAAAGCGTTCCATCAAATCCGTTTACACGAAAATCAGCGGGACGCAACAAGGTTCCTCTGGTTGAAGGACCCGTCACGAGGTCCCCTCCAAAGGAAACATC